GTCTGGGAACTTAATCCTGCATCCTATGATTTCATGGTAAAAAGGCAGAAAGAGAAGACCCTAAAATGAAGAGGTTGCCCAGACAGCGTGACAGGCTCCAACGCCTGTTAGAGGGAATGAGGCCCCATCCTGCTTCAGCCCACACGAGGGGCCAATGAACTGGGAGGGATGGGGAATACATCTCCCCACGGATGGCGGGTGAACTAATCTCTCCAGGGATGCAGCGTGCATGAATCCTACGGCTCACCAGAGGTGTTTCCGATGCACACATTTGAGCTGAGTTTACACTTCTCCACAGTCCACAGCTTCTGGCTGAAGCCACCGTGAGGTTCCTACTGTGTTCCTCGATGCAAACATGCTCAATCCAGCCACCCCTTCCTCTTCCTGTCAGTGCGCTTCCACGGGGTGCTCTGCCTGGCCTGTTTGGCAACTAGGGCCACTCTGCTCTCTGTGCCCACAGCACGTAATCGCCTTCTGTCCTGGGAGTGAGTGACTCCTGTTCTCCCTCACCCACCAGCAGTGTCAGCTCCACAGGGCAAGCTGTTTCTTCCAGTGTCCCCAGAGCCAGTGCCTCATTCAGAGTCAGCGCCTGTTGACTGCATGAATTAATGAACTTAATAAAGCCTTCTCTGGTTAAGAACTGCACGAGCCTCATGGCATCTCTTCACTCCTCTTCACCCTCAGACAGTACAATGGAACACATGGAAATGTCAGGTAGAGAATTTAGATTATTCATAGTGACAAAGCTAACAGAGATGGAAGAGAAGAGAGACAACGAACTCCAGAATATACAGGAGAAAAGAGACGATGATTTCCAGGAGGTGAGGAAGTTCTTGTACAATCTGAAAGAGGAAGTATACGCTATAAAAAAAGAATCAAATGGAGCTGTTAGAGATGAAGGCTGTAATACAGGAAATCAAAACTTCCTTTGAAAGTATTAAAAGCAGACTGGATCATACAGAAAATCAAATCTCAGATGTAGAAGACAGAATCACTGGTCTAGAAAAATCCACCAAGAAGACTGAGAAAATAGCTCAAAAGAATGAGAATAATATACGAGAAATACTAGATACCATCAAACATCCAAACATTTGGATAACTAGTATCCCAGAAGGCAAAGATTGACAAGAGAGAAACACCAAATTACCTACAAAGGATATCCCACCAGCCTAACAGCAGACCTCTCATCAGACACGATGCAAGCAAGGAAAGAATGGGAAAAAATGTTCAAAGTGTTAAGGGGGAAACAATTTCAACCAAGAATACTGTACCCAGCAAGATTATGCTTCATATGGGAAGAAAAGACAAGAACATTCTCAGATAAACAAAACCTAAAAGAATTTACCAGCACCAGACCAACTCTCCAAGAAGTTTTGATGGGAGTGCTATACCAGGAAAGCTAAATACAGACACACAGAAATAAGAGTTCGATAGCAACTGAGAAAATGGCCACCTTAATGGGAGAGACAAGTCTGGAGTTGTATGTTATCTTCCAGAATTTAAACAGGAAGATTGGACCACAACAGAAGATAGATTAAATATTTGAGACTGAACTGGTGAAATAGAATCTGATGACTTTTGACTAAAACATTGCTTTGTTTTCCAGATTTAAGGATTTTTGTCTTCTCTTGAGCTGCTGATAGATTCATGTACCTATTTGAACAGAATCCCAACCTGTTTTCTGGCTTTAAGTTTTAAGCAATGCTCTCTTAGCATTTTTTAAAAATTTTGATTTATTAAAGCTAGAACTGCTTTTCTTGAAATTAAAAAATATATTTACAAATATCTACTTAATGATTGCAGTAAGCTATATAGCATCAGTTAGGTGCTACTTTATATTATATTCATTCTACTCAGAGTTCCATGCCTAAAGTCAAACATGTGTTCACAGATATGTATATAGCAGCTGAACTTGCTATTGAAAAAAGTTAGATTAATTAAGATATTTTGTGAATCAATAAATGTGTGTGTTGGGAAGGAATGGAAAGCAACTGTAGGCACCAGAGACAGTGTGGGAGGAGGGTGGGAAATGCCAGAGGGTGAGAAAAGGGGGGGAACACACACACACACACGAAATGAGAAATGGAAAATTACTTGTTGATGATAACATGTATGATTATGCCACTATGCAGTGTATTTTGGATGGGAAATCACATTTCGTATGGTGTGATGATGCTCAGTGAATGAATGTAGTGAATTAATGTTAAAAAAATTAAAAAAAAATAAAACACAGTGTAAGCAACAAGAATTCTTTCCAGGAGCTGCCACTGATGTGAAAGAAACAGATGTTTCTTATTTTACTCATTAGAGGGTCCTGCAGTTAACGGAACAGAGCAGGGAGCGTGTCAGAGAATGCCAAGGAGTAGACTGAATGGTTCCTTCTGGGACCCAGGTTGGCTGGCTGGCTGGCTGGCTTTCTTTCTTTTTTTAATAGTTTAATGAGAGTGAGGGGGCAGAGGAGGAGAGAAGGAAATAGAGATATTCTTCAAAAAAGTCTGCTGCTTCAGAGAGAGAGAGAAAAAAAAAAAAACAGAGACAGAGAAACACTCCCCACCCCCCACCCCGAGCAGCCCTGACCGAGGGGCCTTCTTATGGGTACCCAGGGAGGTCTGCAGGCATGAATTTGGAACCTCCTGTGTGGGTCGACCTCAGAGAGCTTTGGATTTTACCCAGTACCACCATCTGGCTTCCGAGGGACAGGTATTTTTGATAGGGTCTTGTCATATCACTGTTTTGCTGCCCCAAGCTCCTAGTTAGTGAGAGTTACAGGCAAGCACTCCCATCCCCAGCTTGTTCTTAGGTAGGTTCCAGAACCAAACCTGGGCCTCCCATGTAGCCCTACCCCTTATGCCACTGTGGCCGAGTCAGGGCCTGTGCTCTTAGTAGCAGTGACCCAGGGCAGTGCTGGCTTGAAGGACTTCTGTCCTAATATTAGATGACTATTGACAGAGGCCAGCCCCACCCTGGCTCTGCAGGTATGCCCCAACCAGAGCCTGCAGGACTACCGCCTTCTCCAAAAGGCAGAGAAGGCAAGTGAAGGGTGGGACGAATAGATGGCTCAGCGGGCACGCAGGCAGGACACAGCTCACCCCTCAGCTCACAGTCCATGGGTCTGTCCACAGGAGACACAGCAGAAGGACAGATGAGCTGAGCATCCCTTGTCTGAAATGCTTAGGACCAGAACATTTGTGCTGCAGATTTTGGAATATTTGCATATACATAATGAGATATCTTGGGAAGATGGCCGAAGTCTAAACACAACATTTGCTTACATTTCATATACACTTTATCCATATAACCTGGAGATTATTAATTTATTTATTTAATTTGTTATTATTATTTTTTAATTTGACCAGAGAGAAAGAGACAGAGACAAAGGGAAAGTGAGAAAGCAAGCCACCAGGTCTGGGACTTGAACTGTGGTTGGCCATGTGGGAATCCAGTGTCTCTAACCACCACGCCACCTGCTGGCCCTCTGGAGACAATTTTATGCAATACTTATATATGGCAGTGTTTTGACTGTGATCCAGGTCAGTGTGGAATTTTGTGGAATTCCCACTATGGTATCATGTCAGGACTCAAAAAGTTTTGAATTTTGGAGCACTTTGGATTTTGGATTTTCAGATTAGTGATGCTGAACCCATATATTGTTTTTGTTTCAGATAAGGAGGCCCAGGATTGAAGGACGCAGTGGCCCCCATGATAATGATGTCCTAACTCTACAACCTTTAAAGTCAATAGCGAAAATGAACTCTCAAGAGCACAAGCCTCTTACTCTGTGGTCCTCAGTTTCCTAGGTGATCCCTCACTACCTCCACAGCTGCATTCCAAATGAGCGGCGCTTCACAGCCCTCAGGCCTGTTAAGTCAACACCAGGAGTAAATGTTACAGATATTTTAGAGAACATCAGTTGTGAGAACCTCTTGGCTTACCATATCTGACTGTGACTCATCTCAACAGATTATCATGAAAGTATTTATTCATAAAAAAAAAAAAACAGGCACACCTCTTCAAAGGATGAAATCCATGAAATCCACAAACTCTGTAAAATTTCTTCGGTTTCTTTCTTTTAATTTTGGCTATCGGGTATGTGTACTTCCCAGAAACGGAGAGAGAAGGAGAAACTGAGAAAGTATCCCCCAAGAAGGATGAACACACAGCAATTCCTTCTCCCCTCCTCTGGGGATGATGAGCACACATGGACATCTAGCTGGTGTTTTTTTCAAGCTTCTGGGTCTAGGACTCACACCACACAGCCAGCCACGCCACCTTAACCATCATGCCACCAGCTGGGCCTGTAAAATTTCTTTTAGGAGGGCCCAGCTGCTTCCTCCTGCCATGAGGCAGGAATAATAATATTTGCAAGGACCAATGCCACATTTCAAGCCTTGGGCCCACAGTGAGTTGAACAAAGGTCAATGTTCTCTCCTTCCCTCTTTTATTTTAGGACTAGGTCTGGCTATGTCGTAATCCTCCCGCCTCAGCCTCCCACATAGATGGAATCACAGGCTCAAGCTACCACACCTCGCCCTTTTAGAAAGAGTCTTACTTTGCTGCCCAGGCCAACCTCAAACTTGCAACCCTCCTGCCTCAGCCTCCCAGTAGCTGGGACTACAGGTACACACCACCATGCCTGGCTCACGTCTGGCCAGAAATTAAGCCCAGGACTCCCACATGGCCCAGCCTGTGTCCTAACAACACGTATCCCTCTACACATTTTCTAAAAGAATTATTCATTTGAATTATAATGATTATTTTTCAATTTTCAAGAGGGCACGTGCTCACCAGAGAGCGATGGAGAAGAGAGAGGGAAAGTGAAGAAGCAAGCTGCGAGGCCCAGGAGTCAAACTGCAGTTGATCACGTGGGAGACCAGTGCTTGAACCACCGTGCCACCTACTGGCTCCTCCCCCTTCGTTTTTGAGGTTAGACTCTGGGATTGTACTAGCTCGGTAACCTACATCCTGAGAACTATCCAGAAGCCATGCCAATAGGTTGTTACCTTTGGTCCTGTATCCAGCCGGGAATAAAGCAGGTAAGTGTGCAGATCCCCATACTTCATGAAGGGCAAAATCACCATGGGCTTTGGAATGCCTTGAGAGCTCATTTCTATACATACACCTGAAATTAAAACCGTAACACCAGTTATGTGTGACCATAACAGCCCTGAGACCATGGGCAAAGTGAAACCATATGCTACCAAGTTAACAGTTTAAAAAAAACCCCAGGGCTCCTAACTCATACTCAGTTCTAAAGTATGGAACACACACAGGGTCCACTGCTCGGTACTATTTTTTCTTTCACATTCATGCTAATCCTCATAGGAGAGTTCTCAAACATCGATGTGTAACAAGTAGAGCCATCTAGAAACTTAGGAGTTTTTGTTAGACTGAGTCTGAGAGGTAGTGACTTCGTTAGGATTCAAGGGCAAACTAGTTTCATGGGACAGTTAAATACGTATGTGAAGAAGTTCATTGCAACCAAATACTTACCACTATTAAAAGAATTTTGAAGGTCTGTAGGTAAAACCCACATCCCAGAGCTCTAACAATTACATGAGAAGATACAACACCACCGAGAGCTAGAGCTGGTCACCTGACCCTGGCCCTGCAAATTCCTTGAACTCCTTGGTGCAGTTACAAAGTACAATTGTTCTCACAGCCTGTCAAAGCCAGTAGCTACCAATCAATAACAGTCTCTTTGACATAATTGTATATTCAAATATTCGTTTTCACATTTCTCTGCAATGTCAATTATACAAAACTTTCAAAGAAGCTGGAAGAATTTATCATGTATCTAGTTACAGGACAGTTAAAAACAAAAAGGTCAGCAGAAAACTCGATTATTTCAAGTTTGCTCTTCTCTCTCGAACAGTGTTATGCTTACATGGCATACATGAATATTCGGTCTCCTCTTTGGCATTCTTTACCTAAGAGAACTGCAAAACCAAATCATGTTACGGCACACTCAGTGAAACATGATTTAACACAATTGCATTTCGTGGAATTGTTAAGTCATGTTCCATGAAACTGTCAGTGTGCCATGATCATAAAACAAAACGAACTGGCACTTTTGTTAACAAATTCTTTCTTTTTTTTTTTTTTTTTTTGAGAGGTTTTTCGCTATAGGGTGCGTGCACTCGCCAGACAGAGAGAGCGACAGACATAGAGACAGAAAGCAAGAAATAACCCCCCAGGGGGGATGGTCACGCCGCAATCCCTTCTCCTCCATTCTCCTCTCGGGATCTTGGGCACGCATGCACACACGCCCGGCGTGAGTTTTAAACCACCGGGTCCGGGACGAGAACCGCGGTTGACTACGTGGGAGTCCAGCGACATAGCCATTACGCTAACTGCTGGTTCCCAACAAGTTATTTCTTAAAAGTGATCTAGGGGCCAGCAGGTGGCATAGTGGTTGAGGTGTCAGACTCCTGTATGGCTGACTACGGTTTGAATCCTAGTCCAGGTGGCTTGCTTTCTCACTTTCCCCTTGTCTCTCTCTGGTCAAATTAAAATAAATAACTAGGTAAATAAAAATTTTTTAAAAAATGAACTATGGAATTGCCTATTTTACAGCTTTCTCCCCACTGGTACCTGGTTCATGGATAACCTTAAATCAGTAAAAATTATAACATTCCTGGCTCTTGTGTCTTGCCTTGAGTAACTGGGAGCTATTTTATTAATAATTCACAATATCTGAGAATTCTGTGGGCAGTGTAACTATCCCTGAACCCTTCAGTGTCTAAGAAATGAAAACTGACCAGCAGTTAGCATAATGGCTATGTCACTGGATACCCATGTAGTTGACCGCGGTTTGAGTCCAGGACCCGGTGACTTAAACTCACTCTGGGCGCGTGTGCATGCATGTCCAAGAGCTCGAGAGGAGAATGGAGGAGAAGGAATTGTAGCGTGGCCATCCCCCCTGGGGGGTGATTTCTCACTTTCTGGGGCTAGCAGGTAGCTTGGTGGTTAAGGGCGCTGGACTCCCACATGGCCGACCGTGGTTTGAGTCCTGGACCTGGTGGCTTGCTTTCTCACTTTCTCCCTCTCTCACTCTGTCCTTCCCTGGTCAAGTTAAAATAAATAAAGTTAAATGAAAAATAATTAAAAAAAAAAAAGAAATGAGAACTCAGTTTTACTATTATTCTCAGAAAATACAGGTGGACTCTTCAAAAGGTTCATGGAAAATATGTATGATGAAGAAAAAACTATAGATGGGTTTCAAAATTTCGCACCAAAAGAAAATTATACCCCAATGCATTTTTCTGTGAACTTTGTGAATTACATTTAAACAACCCCAGGAGACATCTTGGTACTTCTGGGATATACAGAGTGTGAACTTCTCTGCACCAGAGATTTTTTTTTTCCCCTTTGCCTCTGCCACAGAGTGGATCAGCCGAGCCTCTTCTGTCCCCCAGTCCTGCATTTCCCTGAGGTACCTAGAAGTCGGATGACATTTGGGTGGCTGAAGTCCTTCATGCATGCCGCCTCACTGAGAAACTCTTCGATCTCCCGCTGTGAAAAGTTGTCCACTAAAGGAAAAGACAGAAAATGTTAAGCGTGAGCAACAACTCAGGTAAGAGCAACTGTGATCGTTCACCATCCCTGAACCCATCAGTGTCTAGGAAATAAAACTCGTTTTGACTATTACTACTATTTTCATTATTACTATTTTTACTCTCTGAAACTGCAGGTGAGAAAAGGTAGAAAGGCAGGGAGAGTAAAGGAGGGGTTACCAGAGGCTGGGAGTAGAGAGGAGGAGAAGGGAAGGATGAAGAGGTGAAGTACGGGGGATTTTTAGGGCCACGAAACTATTGGGCCGTTGGAAAAGTCATGACACAATTTTGCATAGAAAAACAGAAAAAACACATTATGACTTTTCTGACAATCCAATATTCTGAATGAAGCTTATAATAGTGAACAGATGACAAAGTACAAAGCCAGTATTCATTGCATTAATCAGGACATAATACTTATATTCCGAATAATACTTATTGCATGTGAAAGCAACATGAGTTATTTGATCTGTAACACATAATTTTATTATCATTATATTTTATACAAATACAGCTTTTATTTTAACAATAAAAAAAATGTTGTCAGGGTTGGCAGGTGATATAGTAACTAAGGGCACTGGATTCCCACATGGCCAACTGTAGTTCGAGTCCCAGACCTGGCAGCTTGCTTTCTCACTTTCCCTTTCTCTGTCTCTGGTCAAATAAAAAAAAAAAGGAATTAAATAAATAAATATTATTTTTAAAAAAACTGTTGTCAATGGGCCAGCTCCATAGCCTAGTTAAGTGAGTTGGATCCCACATGGACGACCGCTGTTCAAATCCTGGCCCCGGTGGCTTGTAAAACATATGCCCCAAATCTCAACAAGATGGAGAAATGTAGGAGAGACTGCGATGTGACCACGCTCCCCTGGGGTGTGCTTTCTCCTTCTCCCTCTCTCTCTGTCTCTCTGGCGAGTACGCATGTCCTCTGGCAATTAAAAATAATGTTGTCCATAATTGTTCATCAGTGGCAAACACAATATACCACACTACTGCAAGATGTTAATAGGGTGGGAAAATGTGCAGT